CTTACAAGAAGAACCTCATATACTATCGTTGACCCATCACTTTTTTTCGAGAAAATTTTTGTAAAAAGTGGGCGTTTTAGCTTACTCCTTTCAAATAATTAACATCACATGTACCAAACAAGTCAGTATTGTTTATTTTTCAAATCAGAATATGACAACAAACATGTGTATACATATGCATCAAATGCAATAGATATCCATACAAACGATGCTTCAAGACTCTTTTTCGACCTCTTTACCTTAAGCCAGTCGATAAAGTTTTTTCTATTGAGTTTTTACTTTCACATACTAGTTTAAAGAAAAATAAAAGTAGAGACTAATTTGTCTAGTCAGTATGTAATTTTTCTAAGCCACCCACGGGCTTATAACTATGGCATTAAGATTAGCAAATTTTCTGTTTTGTTTTTGTTTTTTTCGATATTTCTTTATTTTTTTTTTCATATTTTGTATTTTTTACTATAGTCCCCTATACCTCTATGTTTTTTTAGTTTGTTTGTTTTAGTTTCTGATTTTGCTTCTTGATGAGTGGGTAGACGCCAGCCGATGAACAATGGGAAAAAAGTCCTTAGTGAGTTAAGGATCCTGAGGAAGGCAAAGAGCTACTGAGGTAAGTTGCGTCTGATATATAAAATTACATAAACGAGTTCTTCATTGGTTGGATCTACTTTAGTTAAAGATAAATTACTTGTAATTTTGAATAACTTAATCCCAAATAAACAAGAGCAGGATAACCGAATTAGAAAAAATTAAATTTGAATAAATTTCAATATGGTTAATATTTTTTGATTATAAATAAAAATTGATTGCATAATGAAAAATTGAGATAATGTAAAAGAAAAGTTGTATAAGACTGTATAAGGCAGAGCATATTATGAGATTGTCTAGTAATCACCTGTTACCTTTAACCAATTAAAATCAAGTGGACTCTGATCAGTCTGAAAATCAAAACAAGTAATTAAATTCAATTATTTCAAAATAAGATATATTTGAGTTTCCACCCTTTTTACTACAAAAGCTTTATATCTTTAGCTTCTATTTTTTTAGCAAATTTTATTATTGAAAGTGCTTTGCCATTTCTTCACTTGATATACATTTCTTCTACTTCTTCTAGTTTTTTGCATATATATTTGATTTCTTGTATCTTTATATCAACTGATAGATCTCAGACTATAATGCAATTTATATTTATATGTCTTTTATAATCATATCTTCTTGCTGTTGATTGTTTCTTTTTTCTGGAAGTCCTTAATATTACTTAAATTGTTTTCTTTATATTAGCTTTTTTCTGAAAGAGCTTTTATTTCTGTTAAATGAGTTTTGCTTTCTCTTTAGCTTCTTACAAGGGGTACCATATTATTGTGGACACTTTTTAAAAATTTATATTGAGCTAAATAAGTAAAATATTAAGTTTAAAATTATATAAAAAATTGTTTAAATCTAAGGCTTTTAAATAAAAAAAAATTTATAAAATTCTATGCAATAGTTGTTGAAATAGTTAATGTTATACAAAAATATGTAATGTTATACTAGTATAAAAATAGTAATTATACAAATTTGGTTAGACTAATTTTTTTATAAAATAACTTAATTTTTTATTAAGTAAACTAAATTTGATTATTATGTAAAATTTATTCAGTATAATAAATTACACATAATTCTAAATTTTTAAAAACTTTTAAAAAATTTTAACCTAAATATTATTACTAAATATAAAAGTTAAATTATTTAATTTAAAATTAACAAATTGCTAAAAACAGTAATTTTTATTATTTTTAATAATTTTATGAATATTTTTTTAAAAAATTTAAAAATTTCAGAATATATATATTTTTTTATGCTGAACAAATTTTACTTAATAATGTAGCTTAGTTTACTTAATAAAAAATTAAGTTTAATATATACTAAAAATCAAAATTGATATTTATACTAAATTCTTATTAAAAATTAGGCTTTAGTACCAATGAAAAAATCGTATGCATAGAATTATATATATTTTTTTTATTTGAAAGCTTCAGATTTAAATAATATTTTATATAATTTTTAGCTCTATATCTTGTTTATTTAGTTCAATATAAATTTTTAAAAAGTGTCTACAATAATATGGTACCCTTTGTATCTTGATTTTTTATTGTCTTTTTGTTTTTCTTTCTTCTGAGATTATAATCAACTAGTCACTTTCCTTTTTCTTAATTCTGTTAATTACTGAGTTTTGTTTAAAGTTGTAATTGAATATTACTTCTATTTAAGTATTTCTATTTTTGAATTTTTTTTTAACTTTTTTGATATATTTATTTTTATCAAAGATTCTTTTAATATAATCTGCTCTTTTTTCTGCTAAGTTTTTTAAAAGACTATATACTAATATGTTTGCCAAAAATAATTGTTTATTTTCACATATTCTATTTTCTGATAACCAGATACTTTGGTCTAAAGTAGCTGTGTAAATTGACAAACCATTCTCCTTTACTTGAATATTAATCATATGAGATTAAATGTTTTTTCTTTCTTTCTAATACTGTAAAATTATATTTTTTAGGATGCTGTCGATTGAACCTTTTTTGACTTTTTTAATTCTTTTTCTTCCTGTTGTTGTGTTTTTTCTATCATTCTTCTAAATCCTTTATATATTCATTATTCTGATTGCTTGTTTGGGGTTGTACTAAGACTTCTTATATTGCACTTGTAATTCTTCTTTTGTATAATAATCCTATGATATTTATTGCTTTGATTTGATGCTTAAATTTTATATTTGTTTGACAATTTGGTTTATATCTTTATCTGTTTTTGTTTCTTCTTCAGATAAATTTTTTTTTTTTAGTTCTAATGCTTGTAATTTTTTTACTAGACTTTTCTTTTTATCTCTTTATTTTACTTTCTTCTTTTTTATTCTTTTCTTTACTTATATTTATGATGTATTCTATTGATAATAGGTTTGTTTTTGCTATTTTGGCTCTTATTGCTCATTGTTATATTATACTTTTTTGTAAATAATTTTTGCTTTTCTGAATGCATCTCAAATTTGACTATATAAAATTATTTCATATACTATTATTTTGCCTAGATCTTGTACTATAAAGTCTTTAACAAGTTCATCTATTTTAACTAGTTCATATAGAGTAGATATATAAAGAATTTCTACTAAATTACTACTATTTAAGTATTTGAGTATCTTTTTAGATACCATCTTTGGTATTATAAGATTCAAAAAAATTGGGTCAGAACTTTTATAAGGAATGTAATGGTTTTGTTATTTTTGTTATTTCTTAATTTTATTTTTCATATTAATCTTACAAGTTCTATCTTTCGCTCATAGGAAAAAAACTAATAAATTTATAAGAATTACATAGAGCCAAAAATACATGAGTTTTACTAATAAATTACTTGCAGATTATTAATATAAATATTAATGCATCATGGTACTAATACTTAAGGCTTATTTTTTCAGGGCATAAGATGTAACTTCTAGGACATAAATAAATAATAAATAAAAAAAATATAACAAAATAATTGTTAAGCTAAATAAGATCATTATGCTAGTATAATTAACAAAGCTGTAATTATATAAATTATAGAATAATGATCTAGTATCAACCCGGGCTTGTCCCTGTGATATGTTTGTTAAACGTCTATACACCATTATACGTACATACGTATGTATGTGCCTAAAAAAGAAACCAAAATTAGAGCATGTGTTAGTAATTAGGGTATGTGTTAGTGTAGTTTATTACAAGTATTATAAGTAAAAAATTCTTTGCTAAATTTTACTTTAAAGTTTATAATCTTAACCCAATTCTAACTTAAATAAAAAACTTTTTTAAAATAAATTGTAGTAATTTTCATCTATAAAAACCTTAAATTTTATTGGCTAATGCAAACCTATAAATTTTACAGGCTGTGAATTATAGTAATTTTCTAAAAATATATAGATATTTTTTTTAAAATAAATGTATTTGTAACAACATGTTACATGTCACAACCTTGCAGTTAGCCAATAATATTTAGTATTTAGCTTTTAAGTTACACACAAATTAAGGTATTTTATTGGCTCTACTAATAGTTGTGACATGTAACATGTTACAATTAGATTCGTCCTTTTTTTTATATATTAAATATCAAAATTTTGATTATATATAAACCTTAAGCTCTAATAACCTTTTAATTTTTTTAAGGTTATTGGTCTCTGAGTTATAAGCATTTTTATATATAAAAGTGGATATTTTTTACTGTCCGGTACTGTACAAAATAGGAAATAAAAATAAGATTCTGATTGGTTTAAATTCTTTAAATTCAAAATCGAAAATGAAAATACATATAGGGGGCCGCAATTTCATCAAAATTAAATAATTTTGGCCTAAATTTTTGATCGTCGCGTTGGCCAATCAAAATCGTGAATTTCCGCGCGGCATCTACGTAGGTTTAATACATAAACTTTTTACATGTGACATATCTATCAGATATATGTACTGTACATACCCAAATTTTTTTTTTTTAATTAAAAAAAAACTTTATGGCAGAAAACGTTAATATACCTCCTATGTTGACCCTCGAAAATTATGAAAACTTTCGAACAAACGCATATGTAACGATAGAAACCTATGCTAGAAAACAAAAATCTATACTTCCACCTGGGGAGGTTGCTTTTTGTCGGACTGTTGATCCCGCGTCTGCTCTCGCGCTAGAAAGACTCTCTACTAAAATAAAAAATAAGCTGAATCGCTTGTTAGTAAATGCAGACATACCCGGTGCTGAAATGCTCGGTAGAGTTAACGACGCAAAAGATTTTGATATTTGGTTTAAGGATTTGGTTACTATGAATGATTCCTTGATTGACGGTGTGGTATGTATAAATTCTAAACTAGTCAATACCTAAACAAGACACTCAAGCGTTTAATTTTTTAGAATGCATCCTTGGATGAATTAACCGGGCGTAGTCAAAAATTCGCGAGTTCTACAGCAGACGCATCAACATCAATGGTGGCACAAGTTAGGGCTAAAGTACGCTTGATTTAACTTTTTAAATGTTGCTTGTTGAATTATTTTTTAACCTTCGATTATCGATTAGTCGGGGGATATCAATATTGTATACTCTCGTAACATTACTCGACCACAAGCAAAGTTTAAGGATAAAATTGACAATTCTGGCGTTCCATTTATTCCTAAACTTCCAAATAAACCGAACGCAGTTGTACCGCTAAAACTGGACGGTATTGAAGAAGGATCTGTGTAGGTCTTGATCTTTATATATAATCCGCCTTTACTGTTTACATTTCAAATAAAGATATATTGAAATTATTAGGTATCCCCATCCGTACCGATACGAGATAACTCATCTTACGTATCCTTCATTCATTTTTGAAGAGAAGGAGCCAATACAATATCGACCTCTTGATGCTACTCCACTTACTTGGGTTGATACATTGGAAGGGCTAACTGCTATGTGCTAGAAATTAGAAGCGTCTCAAGAAATTGCAGTGGACCTTGAGGTGCATATATATATTGTTTTATGTTTTATATTTTACGTTGTTTTCAGTCTTTTGTAATATTAACATGTTTGTTCTGTCCATTTATTATGTCGATTTATTACGCATATTTATTATGTCAACTTATTATATCGATTGACTATTAGCATCACGATTATCGATCATATCAAGGTTTTACTTGTTTAATACAGATCAGCACGCGAGATGAGGATTTCATTGTGGATGCTTTGGAATTGAGACATCATTTACATATATTAAATAATTCTTTCACAAACCCTAATATCTTGAAGGTAAAATTCTCTTAAATATATATATATATATATATGCAGTGAGGCTTCATGCAGTCACATTCATTCATAATAACACCACCCATAAGCACGCTTTTTTTTGGTCCCAGATATAATAAAAGGAATTTGACCTCTTTAGAAGCTGACCCGAAGGGCGTGATTGTAGGGAGGTCTTATTGTATATATATATCAATTTTCTTTTATTAGAAGTTTTTTAATTTTTATTTATTTGCTCATGTATGATATATTTATTGTTGAATAGGTCTTTCATGGCGCCGATTTCGATATCATTTGGCTACAAAAGGATTTTGGTGTTTATGTGGTCAATTTATTTGATACTAATCAGGCATCTCACCTTCTAGGTAATTAATTGGTTACGCTATTTTGTTTGTAAGTTTAATACATATTTTAATTAATTGAACACCAAAATAGAAATGCGTTATCATTCCTTGGCATATTTGTTAAAACACTATTGTCAAGTGGATGCAGACAAGAAATTTCAGTTGGCAGATTGGAGGTTAAGGTATATATTTGATCCAATATGATGCCTAATTAATTTGTTTAATTGTTGTTGATTATTATTTCATTCATTTGACTTATTTAGGCCTCTTACAGAAGAAATGATAACTTATGCTCGTTGCGACACGCATTATTTATTATACATCTACGATAGGATGCGTAATGAATTGATTCAAAATTCTGTTACCATGACTTATAATTTGTTAAAAGTTACACTTGATCGCTCTGCCGAAATTTCACTCCAATGTTATGAAACTTTTCGATATGATCCGAGTGGTGAAGGTCCGAATGGTTATCAGAAGTTATTAGCCAAATGGAATCATCCATTAGATAGGCAACAGGTTTGTCTCATTGTTCGTTTATTTGAGTTTATTTTTTATTCATATGAATAATATTATGAAAATTATAGCTTGCGGTATTTAAAGCTCTTCATGCTTGGAGAGATAATAAAGCCAGAGAGGAAGATGAAAGTTTAGCGTATGTAGTTCATCATTTGTGTGTTAAACGTTTGACGTATTATTGTATTAGTAAATAACGTAATCCTAATATTTATGTCAGTTACGTTCTTCCGAATGATATACTTTTTACACTTTCCGAAAAAATGCCAGATGATTCCAAAGATATAACTCATTTCTGTAGAAATATAGTTCCTCCACTCGTTCGAGAAAATACTCTAGAGCTGGTTAGCCTGATCGTTGATGCTAAAAATAGTGTCTTAAATTCACCAAGTATCTTTGAGAGCCAACCTACGAGAATTGAACGTGATATAAGAACTGCAACGTCAAATAATGTGCCCATTCTCAATTGTAAGTTTATACTATGCGATTCATTCCCGTATATGCATATATATATTTTATCAAAAACAAAAAGTACTTACTGTTATGTCCCCAAGCTAAAAACATAAAATGGGTTTTGGATAAATCTCATCCAAAATATAATGTTGATGATTATAAAGAAAAAAAGTCGGTATTATTTGGTGACTTTTATATTGAGGTTGGTTTTTTTAACAATAATTATTTAATGATTTCTTCTATAAGCATGCTGATAAATAACCTTAAATTTTTAACAGAATGAAATGAACGAAACATCGAAAAAGAAAGTTTCGGAAATTCTCTCGAATTTTACTTTTGCACTTCCCATACTTCCTAAGTCAATTTCATACAATTCTAATCGAGACAATCAAAAATCTAAACCAATCGATGAAAACTCTCAACCAATTATATTCCCTGTGGAACACATTTACGTTCCATCCGAGGCGAGAAGTACGAAATCAAAAGGAAAAGAACGGGAAGTAGTTGTTTTATCGCAGTCAATATCAAAGAAGCGCCAAAGGCGTGAGGATGACGTAGAAGATGTAACAATCATTGAGAAAAATGTTAGTGCAATTATAATCATTTAATATGATATAGTAATGCAAATATTGCTAATGCTTAGCATGAAATTTTTATACAGGAAAAAACTTTCGTTACAGAGACTGTTACTCCTGTGAAAGCTGAGTCATCAAAAAGTACAAATATGGATACGTCAACTAGTGATACGCCGTTAACTAAAGCTGAAAGAAGGGCCCGAAAGAAAATGAAAGCTATTGGTACGTCGAACAAACTTTGCATAGAGTGTTTTAAATTGACTATAGTATACTTGTACATTTTTGTGTTTTCATGTTTGCACCCCAACATTTAACGTCATAATAAATTTTAATAAATATCATCGATTTTTTATAGAGTCGGCCAATCAAAAAACATCTATAGATTTCACGGATCACACACGATTGCCTTCGCTGGTATCTGAAATGTCTACTAATACATCACGCCTCGATTTTGAGGTAACTAGGTCAACCTTAACTTCTACAGAATTTCAACAAAATGGGGAAGAAGATAAATATAAGAAATGTTTTATCATGTAAGATCGAGACATAATACTGTAGATTAAGTATGCCAATCCAGTATATGGAATGGTATTTATTTCGACGTAGGATTGTATCTATCCTTGTTTTTAGTGATTGTAGTCAACGAAAAACTTATAAGCTTAGCCGAGTCGATAATTTTGATATGGCTAAGCGGATTGAATCGTTATCTCAAAAAAATTAAGTCTGCCAATAATATTTTTTACATGGCAATCTTCAAAATACTAGTCGGAATTCATTGGGGTTGGGCCGACATTAAGTAATACCACCAGACTGCGTCTGTAGCAAAATTATCAGCTGGTCGGTTTTATTTAATGAACAGACTATGATTTCATTAGTGAAATTGGCAAATTTTGTAAATCCGATCCGGCTGACTATGATTCTAATGTTTTCCGACTTGTATGAGTTGCCACTAATAAATTATAATCCGGAAACTACGCTGGCTATGTTCGTATTTTATGTCGTATAACGTGTTGTATAGTTCACGAAGTTAAATAAATAACAATAGTAATAATAAAATGAACCGATATACGTCGTTACGTAATATTTTTAAAAAAATATTATGTAATATTCTTAAAGCTGCAGCGATCCGTACACGGCTAATTAGGGTGTGCAACGGCCTATACAGCTATAGGTAGGGTTACTAATGATCATCACTAATTGCGGATTTTTTATCGGGATCGATGCACACATATCAATCTGGGTAATTATTTTTGAATTCCGACCAAAATGTTATTACGTCATATATAAAATTTGTCCGGATTCAAAAATACTTACCCATCTTATTAAAATAAAAATTAGATTTATTAAAACAAAATTAGATTTATTGAAATAAATAGTTAACTAAATAGTATACTATTTTTTTTTTAAATTGAACCTCAAGACTAGCTCTACACTGAAATAGAGCTATTTTTTTAATATTTTTATAAAAATATTTAGAATGCTAATGATTAGTGTTCATGTTTTTGATTATTAATATTTTTATTTTTTTAAAAATAAAAATTAAAAAATAGCTTTATTTCAGTGTAAAGCTAGTTTAGAGCTTTATTTTAAAAAAAAATAACATGTTATTTAATTAATTATTTATTTCAATAAATGTAATTTTATTTTGGTAAAATTTATAGTAATAATTATAGGAAATTATTATTTTGTGCAGGGTGCACACGGTGCACCCTATAGCAAACTATAGCAAAATCAATATAAATTAGTATTAAATTAAAGTTAAAGTTAGGTTTAGGGTTAGGATTAGGGTTGGGTTAGGGTAAAAACTTTACGAAAAACATTTTTTATTAGTTACACAACAGGGGTTATCCTAGTAAAATTTTGAGATATTAAGAGGGGTGCACCGAGTGCAGGATGCATCAAAAAATAATGCCCATAATTATATTAGTTTTTTTTACTTTTTTAAAAATAAATATTAAAAAAAATAGTTTTATTTTAGTGTAAAGCTAGTTTAAAGCTTTAATTTAAAAAATAGTATACTGTTTGATTAATTATTTATTTCAATAAATGTAATTTTATTTTAGTAAAATTTATAACAATAATTATATTTATATTTTTTTACTTTTTTAAAAATAAAAATTCAAAAATAGCTTTATTTCAGTATAAAGCTAGTTTAGAGCTTCAATTTTTAAAAAAATAATATGCTGTTTAATTAATTATTTATTTTAATAAATATAACTTTATTTTAGTAAGATTTATAGCAATAATTATAATTATATTTTTTTATTTTTTTAAAAATAAAAATTCAAAAACTAGCTCTATTTCAGTGTAAAGCTAGTTTAGAGCTTCAATTTTTAAAAATAATAGTATACTGTTTAATTAATTATTTATTAAGGGTGTGGTGACTTAGTGAAGTTGGTAAGTTGTCACATCCCCAAGTAGCAGGACAAGAGTTCGAATCCCACCAGTAACAAAATTCAAATTTAAGAAATGTGTTATGGCAGACTGTGTGCAATCGAACGGATCATCGGATCTGTAGGCTTGGTCATACCAGCTCGTACTGGAAGGTTGTGGAATGTTAGTGTGATGAAAGAGTTACACAAATCCCGAGTGAAGCAGCCGAATAAATCTAGGGGTTTGGAGCACATGGAAGCCTGCTTAGCAAGACCCAAATAAAGAGGTAGCACAGACTTTCGACGGTACTATGTAAAGGATTATTATCTGGAAAAAGAAAAAACCGAATGGGACCGAGGTGTCTGGCAAGCACTATACCAACTAGGCTGCCGAGTCAGTCGGAGGAAGGGATTCGCCCTTCCGGACCATCTGGATTAGGAGTTTGGAGAAGTCAGAAGTACAAAGGTAGTCTGTATAGTAGGTACTGGGGTTTAAGTGAACTTTATAAGAGCAGGGGAACCAGGAATTGTGCGGTTTAATGGTTAGCTCTGACTGCTAGTGTTGGTTTCGGCTATAGCAGATAGGTTCTCTGAATCTAATTTGGAAATGTGTGGAACATAGAAAAATTAGGGAGGCATCTACTACGCCTACCTGTAGGGATCCATGGGTAGGGTTCGAGGCACAGAGGCATGGGCATGCCTATAGGTATGCCGAAGAACCGATAGGCATGCCCTAATCATATGATATACGATATTCAAAATCATTGGCTAAAAATTATTAACTATACTGCAACACTTATTTTACATACATGACAGTATCTATCTATTATCTAATTTTATTTTATTTTTAAAATTAAAAACTAATGCTTATAATTCCAGTTCTAGAACAAGCACTACATTTTGTTACAAGTGATCACAGTAGGCTATACATGAAATATTATTATTATACAGTGGATAGTGATGCACCAATATCTCAAGATTGGCTAATTCATTTTGATAATTTTGAAAAACGAATGCTAACATTTATAGCATTCATTCATTTAAAGCAAAAATAATCAGAAATGATCAGCAGTTCATGAAACATCAGTGTTATAATAACTAAACAATTGCTTATATCAATTAACTCCCGACTTTAATTTTAGTGTTTGTTACCGTTTAATGGCTACATTTCGAAAATGGCTGGCCCATTTTCTACTAACATAAATTTAAACAGATCCAACAGTCTAAGCACAGAGTTATTAATTTGGTTTATAGAATGTATGATGTAAACAATTATTTCTGGTCTTTTTGCAACCACTGAATAACAAATTTCTTAGATAATTTTTGCATGATGCTGTAATTGCACGAAATGACACCTCAGGAAAATCTTTTTTACACAAAAATCCCAAAATTTCCAGTTCAGAATTCATTAAAAGCATGGTTGGTTAGGTTAGCATTA